TAAACCATGTAATTGTCAGATTCAGAATGGCCATTGCCAGTCTATTTTAGCTCACTGATGCCTAGAATATTGATGTTTATGTGTTCCACTCATTTTATACAATTTCAAATTTCCCTAGATTCATACTTAGTACATTCCATATTCCAATTATTAATGGATGTTTAAGGCTGTTTCTCTTCAATTTGAGTTGTGCCCCATCAGCAAATGAAGGTCCCAAGGGCTGTACTCCATTCACATCATCACAGTCAGCTCTACTCTGAGGAGGCAGCTCTTCCCCAGTCACATTTTGTGTGTCTTCCAACCTGATGAGCTCATCTTTCAGCAGTATATCTGACAGTTTTCTGGTGCTCTTCATCATGTTTCAATTATTCAATAATCTGGTGCTGACAGTGTTCCACTGTTATTCATAAGGTTTCCAGTGACTTAATATTGGAAGTAGTCCATCTCTCCTTCTTCCTAGTCTGTCTTCATCTGGAAGCTCAGCTGAAACCTGTCCACCATGGGTGACCCTGCTGGTATCTAAACACTCATGGCATAGCTTCCAGAATCACAGCAGCACCATAAGCCACCACAGTACGACAGATTGACAGATGAGTGGTGGCCCATGGTGCTTACTCCCAACAAACAGACTCTTTCAACACTCTCAAATCCTACTGTCTAGGTGGTTACTTAATTCTTCTCTGTGTATGGTTGGTTCTGATTACAGTGTAATCTTTCCAAATCAGACAAATGCCAACCCTCATGGAATTGTTAACAGGAAGAGACAGACAACAAAATATATGTTAAATTTGATGTGTTAGTATAGAATAGTTGAAGAAGAAGAGAGTGCCCAATGAACAGTTACTGATTGATACGGGCAGTCAGGGAGGCCTTTCTGCAAAAAGAGCACGCATAGAGACCCAAAAGGTGAAAGGAAGTGAGCCATGACGTACCTGGGAGGAGGGAGCAGTCCTTTGAAAGGCATAGAAGCCTGAGTGTGCTGGAGGCCATCAGGATACAGCCAGGTCAGTGAGGGTGGAATGAAGGGAGTGAAGTGGGAAGTAACAGACAACGCTTGGGAATAGACACATGGAGTGAGAACTACTGATTTCATCAGAGAAATGCAAACTAAAAGATAGGGTAACATTATTAACTACTGGTAGAAGTGCAAAGTACTATTCTGCAAAGCAACTTGCAGTGTACTACTGTGTATCAAACTTTAACAATGAACTTTGTCCCTATAATTCCATATCCAAATATGCATCTTAAGGATTTTCATCATAGCATTATTCTTTTTAGCAAAATATAGGAACCATAAATTTATTGACCAGAAATAAAGAAACGTATAGTATTTGGGGAATTATTAAATTGATGTTTTCACACAATATTTAATTATATGGAAAGATACTCTTTTTTTTTATTTAAGATTTTAGGGTTTATTAATCCTGTGGTGAAAAATCCACAGTCATCACAGAATCTTTATTCCTTCTTTTTACCAGCACCAACGTTGACCTTTGCAATCCCCCTGACTTTCTTCATTCTGTTTTTGCACACTTTGCGCTGTTTTCTTGAGGTTTTCTTCTTCTCATACAGGCCATGTCTTGCAAGTCTCTGTTTGGGTTCATTTTCCTTTGCATAATCCAAGGAATTGTAAATCATGCAGAATTGTAAATCATGTAGAAGTAGTCCTGCCACCGCCAAAATGGGTTCTGAATCCAAACACAAAGGTGACATCTGGTGTTGTCTTAGACATTTGGGCAAGTTTTTCCCAAATTTCTGTCTTAGGTACTGTTGGCTTCCCCAGGTGAAGGAAATCAATGACCATTTGTTTCCGCTGAAGTAGTTGGTTGGTCATGAACTTCCTGGTCCAGATAGTTACTGAGTCATTCATGATGGTGGCAGACACTCAGGCAGCCGGGGAGGAAAAAAAGCTAGAAAGATACTCTTGTGGCACTGTGGGCTAGGTGGTGGACTACTTAACTGCAATGTCAGTGGTTCAAACTCAACCTCTGTTCCATGGGAGAAAGATGAAGCTGTCTTTTCCCATAAAGATACGTTGTCGTTGTCGTTAAGTGCTGTCAAATCAGTTCCGACTCATAGCAACCCTGTATAGTTTCCAAGGAGCAGCTGGTGAGTTTGGACTGCCAACTTTGCAGTTCAACTCGCCCTTGTGGTCCAGTGCTTCTCTTATAGTACCACACCAGGACTCCTAAAGCCTACAGCACCCAGTATTCCCAGGCAGTCTCCTATCCAAGTACTAGCCAGGCCTGACTCTACTTAGCTTCCCAGATCAGATGAGGTTGGGTGCATTCTGGGTGGTATGGCCATAGATACACAGCCTTGAAAACCCTTTATCGGGTCATGATAAGTTATAATTTCTCAGTTGCAGTAAGTGGTGGTAATAATTTCTAAGATACAGAGATATATATATGCACAGGAAAACAGTTGAAAGGAAATACCTGGGTCATCTCTAATTGATATGATTATTGGTGACTTTTTTTTTCTCCTTTTTTTCACATTCCTGTATTTTCCAAATGTTCTTCAGTGAACATGTATTACTTTTATACTCACACACAAGAAAGTTGTTTTTAAAAAAATAACAAAGTGAAGTTTGTTATTGTGTCCCACGTTTGTGTTTTCAAATGAAAGACTGTAACTGAAATCGTGGTTAATTAGCACTGATGGTGAGCAGCAGCTCCTCATGAGAAAAAACCTGGTGATCTGCTCTCATAAAGATTACAGTCCAGGAAACCCAGTGGGCACTTCTACTTTGTCATCTTGGGTCACATAACAACAGCAACAGCTTTAATATAGTTCAGAGGATTTTATAGAGCATTACTTTCATGAAGAGTTCTGGTGTGGAACTGTGTAGCCTGAGCATTGATCTGCTAACCACAAGGTTGGTGGTTCAAACTCACCATCCGGTCCTAGGAAACACTATACAGGGTCACTATGAGTCAGAACTGACTGAATTGCACTTAACAACTTTCAAGAAGCTTCTGTCTAAAAAACTCATAAAGGTTAGTTTCTTTGCTTTTTTTCATTCACGTAATGTTTATAGACACTTGAGGGTGTACTCATGAACCAGGCACTGTTTTTGCCTGTTGATACAGAGATGTTAAATAGCATTGTCTTGATTTTCAGAGAACTCATTCTGGTAATGTAAAATGATTGTAATAAGTCCAGCAGTATGATTTACAAAATACCAAGGGGGGGTGATCATTTCTGCCTTCCAGGTTTAGAGTGCTCGGGGTGCTTTTCCCTGTAACCCTGAGGATCAGGATCTTTGTTCTGATAGAAGCAGGGGCAGCAGCAGAGATGTGGGAGCGTCCTGTGGAGCCATGGCTCCTGGAGTGAGCACTCGGCACACCACACAATGGCCACTTCGTAAATTTCTCTCTTTACTGACTCTTCTTTATCAGCAACTACCATTAGGTCCATACAGACCCTGAACACTAGAGAATAGGAACGAACAGTGAATTTAAACTTCTCATGGAAGGATCAGCACTGGACTGCGAACCACAAGGTCAGCAGTTCAAACCCATCAGCAACTCCTTGGAAACCCTATATAGGGTCACTGTGAGTCAGAACCAACTCAACGCCACTTAAAAACAGCAAGATTCTCATAAGGAACAACCAATAGAAGATAAAATTTCTGAGAGTTGTTGATCTGTAACCTAGAATTTTATACCAACCCAAACTAATCAGGTGTTGGTGGTTGTGTGCATCGAGTTGGTTCATAGTGACCCTTTCTAGGGTTTCCAAAGCTATAAATCTTAAGGGAGGCAGAAAGCTTCATATTTCTCCCGCGGAGTGGCTAATAGATTTGAACTACTGACCTTGCAGTTAGCAGCCCAGCTCATAATCCACTACACTACCAGGGCTCCTTCTGTGTGAGTGGTGGTGGTGATTATGTGCTGTGTAGTCAGTTCCAACTCATAGTGACCCTCTATAGGGTTTCCAAGGCTGTAAATCTTTAAGGGAGCAGAAAGCCTCATCTTTCTACCAGAGTGGCTGGTAGATTACAACTACCAATCTTGCGGTTAGCAGCCCAGCTCATAACCTACTATGTTACCAAACTCCTTTCAGGTGTGAGCATTGTTGTTTAGTGCCTTTGAGTCTGTTCTGACTTATAGTGACCTTGTATCCAGTTTCCACGGAGCAGCTGATGGGTTTGAACTGCTGACCTTGTGGTTTGTAGTCCAGGTGTTGATCTACAGTGCCACACATATGTGGGAGTAGAGAAATTTCAATAGTAATATAACATTTGAAAAGAGCAACCCTGTACAGGGTTTCCCAGGCTGTAAGTCTTTACAGAAGCAGAAAGCTTCATCTTTCTCCCATGGAGCAGCTGGTAGTTTAGAACTGCTGACCTTAAGGTTAGCAGTCCGACTCGTAACCACTACGCTTCCAGAGCTCCAGCAATGCTAGCACAGGTATATTATTCGGTGATATGGAATTAACTACCAGAAGAAAAATTAAAAGAGTGAGAGGACAGTTGCTTTTTGTCGTGAGTTTCTTTGATATCTGCTATTGTACTTGTATTTTTCTTTTAAATGTTTTATTAAGTATTGAATAGATAAAAATATTCATAAAATTTATTACATTAAAATGTTACAATACATTTACCATATTTGATATATGAAAAAAAATTTTCTGTTTTGTTCCTCATAAAACGTTTTGGTCAAAAACAGTTTCCCAACCTCGACATTGTTAAGATTTGAGTCTAGATAATATTTTGTCATAGGAACTATTCTGTTCATTGTAGTTTGTTTAGTAGCAACCTGGCCTCTACTTACTTGATGAAAGTAGCAACCGTCCCTCAGATGGGACAACAAAAATGTTCCTGATTAAGAAACACTATCCTACATAAAGTCAGTCTGAAACTGCTAAATGGTTATTTAAATTGGATGTGTTTCTTTTGTTGTTTTTAAATGCCTATCTGCATATAGCTAAGAGCTTTTTGTTTCCAAAGTCAACACTTTGTTGTTGAGTTGTTTCTGTTTTGTTTTGTTTTTTAGAACTGCTTTCTGAAGCAAGTTTCCAAGAGGCTCTTCAGGAAAGCATTCCTGACATTCAAGCACATGAGTGGGTGCCACTGTGGCTTCTTCGGTATTCTGTCATTGTTAAAAGCAGAGGGATTATTAAATCAAAAGGCTACATTTTACAAGCTAAAAGGAGGGGTTCTTAACTATGATTTATGATCATAACCTATTGACTTTGTCTTTTCCTTGAATATCAGATAAATCCAGGTGTGTAAAAATCTAAATGGTGTCTTTGAGGCAGATATTCTTTAGTTACATTTGACAATGTGTTGCCTATCAAGTATTGAATACTTTTCTTGCCTTCATATTAATTCACTCACATGAACCATTATATTGTTTTCACTCAACTATTGTTTTCTAATTGAAATTGTCTATAAAGAAAATACTTGCAATATATTTTCCCTTTATTTTTATGACTAATAGAAATCAAGAAAATTGTTAGATATATTTTGGCCTATGTATCAAGGTAATGTATATACACATATTTTTTATTTCAAAAAAAATCATTAATTGCTTTACTTTATTGTCTAAGCAATTTAATAACAGTTGTTAAAACTGAGATACTGGAAGATATTTTTCCTGTCCTTGGTAAAATATTTCATAGTAACTGGAGTCACTGGGATCTACCAGTAATATAAATAAAATTCATTTCTTCAATACAATGAATGCAAACTGAAATTTTTTGTGTGCCCTTTCTTATAGATTAGCTGTAACAGTTTAATCTTGTATGCTTGTGCCATATATATATATATATATATATATATAAATAAATTTTTTTGCTGTTATTTACAAAGACAAACCAAAGTAAATATGAAAAGGAGACTAGAATTTGAAGTTACTGTTTGGAAGTTTTATCAAAGAACTGTATCAGCTCCAGATCCTTTGTAATTCTTGATTTATCTGTAATAGTTTGCTCCTCATTCAAGAATATTCACGAAGTTCTGAGCTTTTCCCATGTGTTGGGCATTATGGGCTCTGGAGATAGTAAGGGACATAGTAGGTGGAGAGCCAGGGGTTAAGAATCAGTGGAGTAAAATATGTGATAACTGACTAATCATTACTAAGGACTAAAAGCCAAAAAGGGATGAATTTTTTTAAATCCTTAATTCAGACAACTTTGAGATACGACTGTAATCAAAATGTTAGAGCTAGAAGACAATAGCTCTTCTAGTATACTTTCTCATTAATTTAAGAACCAGGAAATAGCAAATAAGTAAGCTCTGACCTCTGGAATATAGTGTGGGTCTCCTTAATTCTATAAATTTGTGCCTATCACCTAGTTTGAAAAATTCTTTAAAAATTGTTTCAATATTTTAAACCATGAGCCTATATAAAACTAATTTGCTGATGCTTTCTCAGTTGGAGGAAAGGAATGAGACATGGTAGGTATGTATTCAAAATATATACACTAGAACCTATTACTTTAAAGTTTTATGGTTTACTAATAGGATAATTTTATCATTGGAATTTTAATGTGAAATCAACTAATTTACCTGCTAAAACTTGTTTAGATTTTGCACGTCCAAAAGCCATATAGACTTTGTATTAATTGTATATAATGATAGTAAATACATATAGTCAGCATTTTTATTTAGAAATGTGTAACCTTTGTATATATAATACATCTTTAAACAAATGATAAGTTTATTTTAAGTCTTTATAGTGAATTGGTTGAGATCTTTTAAGAGGGACCATTGATGTCACATTTACCATTTTTAAACCCTGGACTTACAAAAATGGATTGCTTCAAGAATTATTTTGAAATAGGAAAGAGACATATGTTACTAATGTAGCCAGACAGAAGATTTTTGTGGCTTGCCCCCCCCACACACACACACACACTCTTCTCAAAGAAGCAAATTATAGATTGATTTTGTAAAAGGAATCATGTATAGAATTTTTAAATTATTTTTTTTGTCTTACCACTGCCTGCTAAATTTCTGTTATTGAATGACCTTATTTTTAAAAGGCTTTGTAATTTTCTAAGCTAATGTTAATATGCTTTTTTCCCATTTTTCATGAACTTTCAGATTATAGTGTTTAAAAATTTTTCAAATATTTAAGAATTTAATGTTTTAAAAGCCATAAAATAAAGAGGAATACTATCAAACAATTGCTTAACCCTAAAAATTCTGTTAAGTACACAGCAGTGGACATGGCACTAAGGTTTTCTGGGGAAAAGACATATCCAAGAAAATGTAGTCACCAGAGAACCAAGGTGCCTCATAAAATATACTGATTTGGTATAAACTCAGCAGATGACATTGTGCCGGCACACTAACACAGTTCAGTTAGCGGTGACCAGTGCTAGAACTTGAATCACAGATAACCAATGCCAATTGCTGTCAAGTCAGTTCAGACACATGCTAACCCCATGTGTTCCAGAGTAGGTTTCCAATGGCTGTGGTTTCTTTTTAAGTAGACTGCCAGATCTTGCTTTGGAGATGCCTGGGTGGGTTCAAACCTCCAAACTTTCATTATTAATCCTGTGCTTAACTGTTTGCACCATCTATGGCCTTCTTGAATCACAAATGTTGTTGTTACATGCCATCGAGTCAGTTCCAACCCATTGTGACCCTGTATAGAGTTTCCGAGGAGTGACTGGTGAGCTTGAACCACTGACCGTCTGGTTCAAATGACTTTGAAGTCAGGTGTATTAACTCATAGCGCCTAATAAAATCTCAGTTCTCAAAAACAATCACTTAGACAACTGTGTGAAATGAACCATAAGAAGTGATTTCATTTTACATAAATGGTTCAAACTTTTCCACACCAGAGCGAAGTAGTACTAGAAGCATATTTTTCAGCAACTAAAGGTCTCCATATTCATTCCAACTCCTAGCAGCCCTACAGGACAGAGTGGACTGGCCCCTCAGAAAGAATCCAGGAGCAGATTACCAGGTCCTTTCTCCCACTGAGCTGCTACTGGTTGGAAGTGGAGCAGCACTTTACCGCAACCCCACCAGGACTCCTTATTAAAGGTCTAAGGCAAGTTTAATGATGTCTCTTGTTCTAGCATTTTCTCTCTAATGGTCCCACCCAGTATTTTACTTATTGGGAATGTAAGCAGTTGGTGTGTTTATTGTATATCCGCCAACAATTCCACTTTCTGCCAAATGTACATGTAGAGAAATGTGAAATGGTTTTAATGAGCATTTATACGATTGTATCAATTGTGTTTTCATACTCAAGTGCACCATTTTATGATTCTGAACCTATTTTTTTTCTTAGCTAACGTCCTAATATACCAGAACAACTTGTACTTCTTTTTCCCATAAAGTTGATGACAGAATGTGTAGGTTTTATTTTTGAAAAGTATGTAATATGGCTTTCATTAATACTTTTGTAGTTTTAAGAATTAGAAATACATTTAAGAAAGGAAATGTTTTAGATAATCCTGCTTTTTCTTCTGTGTCTAGTGGTGTACTATAAAATAAAAACAATATAAATCATTAAAATATTTGTAACAATGTTTTCATTTTTACTTATATTAAAATTTAATTGAATTATGAGCTGTATATTTTTTAACTGAGATGTTTCAGTAGATGGAGACATTATATTGATTTCAAACAATCTGAGCTGAAACTTGGTATGATTTGGAAATAAATTATGAGTAATTTTTAAAAATCCAAGCCATAAAGTCATCCATTTATTAGATACTTATTATGTGTGCAGCACTTAACAAGATTTTGGAGATGGATACAAAGATGAAAATCTCAAGCATAGTATATATTTGGTATCCTGAATCTGGTTGAGGGAGAGACATCTGTACATAAATAGGAGCAATAAAAGACAGTTTCTGGTGAAGAGGACTTAGGAACATGGGGAAGGTGGTGGGTGGGGAGCTGGATCAGGGTAAGGACAAGGAAGATTTCCCTGAAGAAATTAGCCTTGGATTTGTCTCAGAGGACATGGTGTGAGTGGGCATTCTGGCAGAGGCACCAGCTTGCTTGGTTTGTAAATATGTTTTTATTGAATGTGTAAATGACTGGTGAAGTAGATTATATGTGTTGGTAAGTACCATCAAGTAAAGTTCTGGCTTCCTACACCCACAGAGACCCTGCATAGGGTTTCTGAGAAGTGGCTGGTAAGCCTGAACCAAAGTTTCAGTCCAGTGTATTAACCCACAGCACCGTACCAGTACTCCATGCAACAATATATGACTTAACAACAACAGCAACAATATATGACATAAATATATTTTCAAATGTTACTAAAACCACACAAACAATAAAGACAAAACATGACTGGGACCTCCTAAATCTCAGACACTTACATGCATCAAAACATTTCACCAAAGGAGTAAAAAGGGAGCCCACAGACTGGGAAAATTTTTTTTAACAAAGATATAACGCTTTTTGTTGTTAGATGCCAACGAGTCAGTTCCAACCCATAGCTACCATATATGCAACAGAATGAAACACTGCCTGGTCCTGTGCCATCCTGTGGGTTGCTGCCACGGTACCAACCCTTCTCATTGGGGATATTATTCATTTTCGATATCCCTCCACTTTACCAAGGATGATGTCCTTCTTCAGACTGGTCCCTCCTGACAACATGCCCAAAATATGAGACATGAAATCTGGCCATCCTGACTTCTAAGGAACATTCTGATTGCACTTCTTCCAACACAGATTTGTTTGTTCTGGTAGTCCATGGTATCTTCAGTATGCTTCTCCAACACCATAACACAAATGCAGCAATTCTTCCACAGTCTTCCGTATTCATTGTCCAATTCACATGCATATGAGGCTATTGAAAATATCTTAGCGTGGGTCAGGTTCACTTTAGTCCTCAAACTGACATCTTTGCTCTTAAACACTTTAAAGAGGTCTTGTGCAGCAGATTTGCCTAATGCAATATGTCGTTTGATTTCTTAATTATTGCTTCACTGAGTGTTAATGGTTGATCCAAGCAAAATGAAGTCTTTGACAATTTCGATATTTACTCCATTTTCATGATATTATTTGTTGGACCAGTGGTGAGGATTTTTGTTTTCTTTACATTAAGGAGCAATCCGTACCGAAGTCTTTGATCTTCATCAATGAGTACTTTAAGTCCTCTTCACTGTGGTTACAAGTTGGGCTGCTAACCTTAAGCTCAGCAGTTTGAAACTACCAGCTGTTCTGCGGCAGAAAGATGAGGCTTTCTGCTCCTATAAAGATTTACAGCCATGGAAACCTTATGCAGGGTAGCTATGAGTTGGAATCAACTTAAGACACACAACCACCACCACCACCACTTTAAGTAGGCAAGGTTGGATCATGTGCATATCACAAGTTGCTAATGAGTCTCCCTCCAATCCTGATGTCGAGTTCTTCATATAGTCCTGTTTTTCAAATAATTTGCTCAGCCTACAGACTGAATAAATACAGTGAAAGAACACAACCCTGGCACACACCTTTCTGGATTTTAAACCACTCATTGTCCCCTTGTTCTGTTTGAACAACTGCCTCTTGGTATATGTACAGGTTTCTCATGAGCACAATTAAGTGTTCCAGAATATTCATTCTCCAAAATTTAGTCCATAGCTTGTCATGACCCACAAAATCAAAAGCTTTTACATAGTCAAGAAAGTGCAGGTAAACATCTTTCTGGTATTCTCTGCTTCCAGTCAAGATTCATCTGACGTCAGCAATGATATCTAGTTCCACATCCTTG